CCAACTTGCATAGGTATTTCTTTTTCTTGTAGCTATTTAAATCTCTTCTGCTATTAAACTGCGCTCGAATGTTAGCCAATTCTTTGTTGATTCTTTTAGTTTCATCTTCTTGACATTTGCAATTTCTAATGTCTGTAATAAACAGAGAAAGACCATGCATTTCTTTCATTACTCTAAACTATCAGAAAAAATAAAAATAAATCCGTTGAATCAAATACGCTTTCTTACAGACAGCAATTTGGAAAATTACTAATTAATTGTTCCATTGTTTCTGCCCAAATGTCAATATAATGCACATTCAATTTATTGCTTATGCTTACCATATATTTCGCGTCTTGTTAATTTTGTTTAGAAGAGAAAATGAAGCAACGAAATCTTCAAAAAAGAAAGCTTTAGCATGATAGTGCAATCGTCTGCTGAAATCACGAGACATATTTTTTATAAATTAGGAGATTAAATAAATAATGATATTTCTTTTAGGCTGATTTCTGCGACTTTTCTTATTTTGATACTGAAATGAAAATATGAAAAGCAAATTTAAGGAAAATTTAATTTTAAATTAAAGTGAGTACATTTCTTTTTTTTTTATAGAAAAAATTGCACTTTTTTGTATACTTATATGCACGAACATCACAGAAATCTGACATAATGCATATTTACGATGTGCATATTTGTCATATAAGAGGCTTATTATTGAAGCTGCTACTATTAATAGTTCGAAACTGTTAAAGCAGCTTAAGTCTGTCATACATGTCTGTTTGTTCCTTTGTTCAGTGGGTACAATCATCTAATGGATACAAGTCAACCATTATAATTTCTTCGGCTGCACTACCCGGACTACCTACTAATTATAAATTACCTACCTTATAATTAGTTGGTAAATTTTCATTAATAAAGTAAGATGCAGAGTTAATAAGAATTTATTTGACATAAGTATAGCGGATAAACTTTTACTCAGTGCGATTAAATAACGTTGTGGCGTGCGTAACTACCACTACGATTATTAAATATCAATTCACTAGTATATAAGACATGCTAACTCTATTAAATCTTGAGGAACCTGTGGTTTGATGACGGTTGACATAACTTCTTTCACCATTACGGACATGTTTTGAACATGCTTACCTCAAAAAACTCGCCAACGTTTATTTAAATACGCCTACATTGATATATGACCCGCATTGAAAAGTTGACTTGTTATTTGCGACTGCGTCTATGCTCTCCTCGCGCTGTTGCTTCTCAGCCTCATTTACACACATCGGGATCCTGCACACTCTCGACTGCTAATAGCAACACAGAAGAACCTACATACAACCATACAGTTTTCACGACAAACTCTCAAAATCTGGTGAACTTAACAGCTCTCCCGGTCTTTTGCAAGTAGGGCAACAAGTGGTATCCGTTCATCGAATTCTATCCCTGATAAAATTCTGGTGGGGGAGTACTGTGGCGTACATACCACTACGAGTATTAAACATAAATTCACAAGTATATAAATATGCTAACTCGATTCAATTTTGGGGTACCTTTTGGTGGATGAAGGTTGGCATTGTTGATAACTCCTCACCCCACAAGGTAACATCAAACTTCAACGAACTTATACTTTCTTAACTAACGTGACAATGAAAAATAAAACAGTTCTATAATCGATTACGATTACAAACACAAAATTGTCAAAAGTATCGATAAAAAGTTCATAACATTGACATCAGTAATTTCGGATACCTACTAATTATTAATTGAAACATCGGAAAGAAAAAAATGCATAAAAAGAAATTTGAGGTCCGCTTATGGAAATTATAAGAAAGATAAAAACATCAACAACAACAAAAATGAAAGAATATTTTTCTCGAGAATGATTTTTCTTTCCAATCCATAAACGCATAAATCTTTTTCCAAAATACTTTTTAAAAAATATTTGCTATTTTCCTACTTAAAATTCTAAAGATATGATATTTTTAGTTTAAAAAAAATACTTTCAACAAATGTTATAAAGAACCTTTTTTATTCATGTAAAAGTATATATTTTTAGATAAAAGCCACCGCATCAAAAATCTAACAAAAAAATTCCTTTTAGGAAAATTGTCCCCTCAGTAAGCAAATTTTCTAACACACTTCACATCCGAAATATATTCAATTTCCGCTAACATTCAAACAAATATTGACTTCTTGTAGATTGAAGGCATTTATTTTCCGACTAAAAAAAGTGAGGGGGCCAATTTCGTCTTTAATATTTCTACTATCTAAAATGGCATTTGAAGCTGTTATTTTTAAAATTTCTTTTATGCTTTTTCCACCTAACTATGGTGAAAAAGATGTTTTAAAGGAAAAGTAATGGGATTTCATTTTTACATTTTAGGTGCTGGTTTTTATCATGAATTGTTTTGTAAAAAATTGAAAATAAATAAAATTGATTTTTTTAATAGATTATTCTATTTTTGAATCCTACAAGACTTTGTGCTCAAAATTAATAATGTATGATAAATTATTAAATATTGACACTTTAAATCATATGTGATATAGTTATGTCTGTATTGGAACATTTATTGGCATTTTAAAGATTATATGGTAAAGACAATATTGACATTTTAAATAATATGCAATATAATTATGTGATCTATCACTGCCACTGTATTGGATGTTTAACTTTGTGATGCGTTTTATTTTGATGCGTGGACACTATTATGTTTAAAAATATATAAAATTGTGAAGATATGTCGAATAATGTATCACAAATTAGATGGGGAAAATTTTAACCTTTGATAAATAGTTAGGGAATTATTGACTGTAAAATATGCATCGACATAGTTCAAAATTGGGTCAATTCCCCTACTTTGAGATTTTGAAGCTAGATTTACGTTCGAAAACAAGCTGAAAAGTTTAATTAATTCGCAGAGTGGAGATATTCCTTCCTTCCTTTTTTGTTATAAATAAACGATTTTGTTCAGAATTCAAATATTTTAAAAGAAAACTCGGATATTAGTTCAAAATATTTTCCAACGCAACACAGACAGTATTTTTTGTCCCTTTTTCATCAGAATAAAAAGTCATATGAAATATTCATTTAAAAAATGAGAATTTGATTCACTCATTTAATATAGAACTATCAAAACATATTCAGTTTGTGAAAATCATGAATTTGTATTTTACTATTTTTTATAATTTTAAATTTTTATTGTAGTTTAATTTTCGGAAAGGAATTTTTAAATTATTGCTAAAAAGAATTATAATTAAATAAAGAATAATGACGTCATGCGAAAATTATGAATTGAGTCTGTCAAAAAATTATCAGCTAAAAGATTAGCAACTGCTAACAGTTAAACGATAAACTTCTCGAAAGTTCGGGAAATCTGGAGCGGGTTCCAAAAGCTCCGTGTCGTGGAACAGACCCATTCCAACATTAAAAAGTCCCAATTTCTTCGCTGGTATGATGATGAGTTTCACATTTTGATTTCAATGGTGACCATATCAACGACGCAAAAGTATTTATATGTTCCAAAAATGTATTTTTACACTACTTTCCTCTAATAAAACTAGCTACACACCTTCACGGAAAATTAGCTCCGCATTAGTGCTACTTTCGGTAGTTTTGTTTCGAATACTTAGCTCTGCCTTCAAGGGTTTGTCGCTTAGCGGCTCCTTAAGAGGATACTACGTAGCGGAAGAAACTTTTCATCTCAAATTTTGTGTAAAATTCTGGATAAAATTGTGGTATAAAGTACTGGGACTCTGAAAGCAGCATCCGTAAAATGCATTTCTACCGTAAAATTTTATACCTTACTTTTTGCAATATTATTTACTTAATTACAGTGATTCAGTAAGTTTTAGTGTAAAAAATTACGGTAGATCAAATTCTTTGCACTATAAAGTTTAGAGCAAAAAATAGATATTTTACGGTAAAAAGGTCCGGTAATCAGGGTGTCAGTACTCTTTACCGGAATATTTTACAGTGTATATTAAAATTCAAAGAATAGGGAAAAGTAAGTTAGAGAAAACCATGAAATTTCAAAATTGAATTTTTTGCCAATGCCCACTTAGGGAATGACCTTTCGTCAATACAGGCATCTGAAGGGCAGATTTGTTAGCCACCCTTTCAGAGGCGCCATATTAGCTGGGCCAACGTTGCGTCCACAGTAAGGACACATAGTACAGAGAATGAAAGAGCATCCCTGCCTTGCCCGGGATTCAAACCCAGAACCTTTATGATGCAAGGCCAGTTCCCTGATCCTTACACAGGCAGGTTGGCAAGTATATTGAGAAACTGTTTCCCAAATATAAAATTGAAAGCATAATATTCAAAAAGAACTCCACCACAGCGTAATTCTAAGTTATCCTCTCCTACTTTGTTTGCATTTAGATATTTTGTAAACATTTTTTCGGTACTTGATACTTTGTCTAGGTTTACCTGAACTGAGTTCACTTTTTTCATTCTTTAATTTTCTTTTTCAATTGTGCAGCAGCATACACATTTTAAGGACGAACTTTTATTTCAGTAGAGATTTTATAGCGGCGTGGAAGCAAACTGCTGGTGCTATTCAAAATGCGCCAACGTTCCTGTTTTCGGAAACAAAATAATTCAATGCATCTGATCTTGGTGCAAGCCTACTCATTTATTGGAGTTTAAATTTAATAGCATCCTTTAAAGTGTACACACATGTTCGAATTGGTTTTAACTTGAAATAACCCACAATTTTTAGAGTTTTTTAAGCACCAAATTCGAATTGGTATTAATTACAGTTCTCACAGTGTTGTAAAAATTGAAGGAAGTGAAACTCGTGTATGAACTTTTACTCATCTGGATTGATTTCAAAGCACTCAAACGGTAAATATCTCTTATAAAATGAATCTATAGGCTTTCTTTTGTATGTGCCATCCCTTACTCACCATTCAATTTTACTTCTGGTGGCTTTTTTCATGAAATAGTTTATAATTATTCAAGAAATATCTGCGTTCAAATAGATAGATTGGTAATCAAGTTTTATCGTTTCTTTATTTTACAGATTGTTGGAGCATTTAGTCTTACAAATGTTTCAGTGTATATAATGGACCTAAAAAAAGTACAACTCTTTGATTCTTGGAATAAACAGCAAACATCTTGCATTGTTCCTACGTTATCAAATGATAGGTAAGCCTTTGTATAAAGTTTTTAAAAAAATCTTAAATTATAATATAACTGTTTTATTTTTGCTACGAGGAATGTTTTTTTTTGGATTAATGAAGTTTTATATTTTTAGCTTCATGCTATTAAATTTTTAAAAAATCGCACTTTTAACGTCTTAAAACATGGTTTTCTTAATCTTACCGAGAAGGGTAACAAATCATGAAAATAAAATTATATGCTTTAATATTTAACTCTATTTTTATAGTTTTAGAAAACACCAGTTTATTGATTATTTACGTTTTCTTACCTCCTAAGAACTAATATATTCAGGTAGTTTTACTTATAGAGTATCTTATTTTAATAACACTGTTTGTATTAAAAGTTTAACATACAGGCATCTGCAGTAATAATGAAGGGTTTCTTTCATAGGCCTTATATCGACTAATAATGCGCAAATAATTCCTTAAATTAAAAAACATGAAGGAAAAAAAAGACATATCAGGGAGGGCGGGGTAATATCGGGTAGCTGATATTCAGAAGCCTGTTGGAGCTTAACTGTTTGACTAAGAAATTGTCTGATTGAACCAAGATATTCATTGTTTGGTTGTATACATCATTCTCAAAAAGACATAGATGTGGGATATTTCTTTTAAAAGTCTAGAAGGAAATGGCATAGTCAAACCTTTGTCAATCCGGTTTTAGTGGGTAAAACCAGGTACACATATTAATTCTATGAGAAATTTGGAAATGATGGAATTTCAGTGAAAAAGTAGAAGACATTTCCATTTTATATGATGATTTAAGAAAATAAAGCAAGCATTTCCATAAGACGTAGTCAAGACAGTACTCATTTGGGTAGGGGAAAGACAAGGAAAATTGTTCCAAATCCCGGAATAGCTAAGAGCCCAACCAAAATTTTTACCAAAAAAAATTAGCGTTTATAATTTTTTTTCAAAAATATATATAGTGTAAAGATGTAAATAGTTTTTATAATTCTTTTGCAATATATAATAGTTTTATATATGTTTAATATATGGCAGCTTTTATGATTCTTTTGCATATAGTTTTTACGTAGTTATTAATGTGAGCAATAACAAATTATATCATCTGCTTTTCCTTATTATTTATCAATTAATCATCTACAATTGGGATAACATGTATTATTCGAGTGATTTTAATCTTTTCTGATCAATTAATTTGTAAAATAATTTTTAAATTTTTTATTTTTCACTTCGACGGTCTATCATTGGTTATTTCGTAGAATTACTAGGTAAAGTATAAAATTTTTCCTCCATTATATACTTTAACTGACTTGTCTAGTTATTTCATGAAATACCTAGTTATTCTATGAAATAACTGAACTATACACTTTAACGGTAACACATATATGTATAATACAGTGCTTTAAATAAGCTGAATGTTAATAAATATTGCAGAAAAAAATAAAAGTAAGTTAAAAAAAAAACAAAAGACTATCGCTATTTAATAATGACTTTTTAGTGCAATTTCTACTTCAATTATTTTTTCATAATTCAAATATCTGACTTAGTAATTTTAATTAAGAAGAGCTTTAGCTGTTGAAATTTACGTCCTTTTATACCACAAAGATTTTATCTTTCACTGTCAGTATTTAATCCTCTTACGCAAATAACTCGGAATAAATTGACAGGCGTAAGAGCTTATGAAGCATTATTTTTCAATTAAAGATAAGCATGAGCAAATCATGGAAAAATTATACATATTTTTTTTCTTTGGAAAATCTCTCCTAGACAAACTAAAAAAGTAATCTTTTGCGCAGCATCTTATGTTGATATTTTCATGCGTATTTCACATTTCCAAAAGTGCAAAGTCTGCTGCATAAGTAAAGGGTATCTGATAACGCTAGAAGAGAAGGTTTACTATAAAAGTTGAAAGAGAAAATAGAATGGAGGAAAGATAACCTAACTCCGCACATCAATGGTCAAACAATATTCTTCTTTCGTTCGTTCTTTTTTTTCTCTTTTGTATACATTTCGTCTTATAGATTCAAAAGTAAAGCTTTTTAAAATAATTTTTATCCTGGATCTGTTGGAAGTTATAGTTGAAAAATATTCTTTTTAATAAGTAAATAAAAAAATGTCTTAACGAATGTTTCACGAATCTTTATTCTGAATATTTGGGAGAGCCCTGATTGCTCAACTTATTAAAAATAATATGGGCTCATCTCGAACTCGAGACCAACTTGTGCTCGTTTGCTTAGAGTTTGTGCTAATGATTAGAATTTCATAATTTTTTTTTTACTACTTTCAAATTCTACACCTATTTAAAGGCCCGTACTGGGCACAAAAATATATAAAATGTATAGAGTATAAAAAATAAAAAAGTACATGATTTAATGACTCAAAAACTAATTACTACAATAATAATTCTTATGAAGTTGTCAGTGGAATCATTGTTGTTGAAAATTTGAGTTTTTTTTAGGACTNGGGTATATATATATATATATATATATATATATATATTTAACGGGAACTTCCTTGTCTATTTTTCTTATTGTATCATTATTCCCATTGTTAAAATATATTTGCATTGATCTGATCAAAGCAGAATAAACTGTTGAGAAGCCATCACGCGAGTCTTTCTTTGATGCTACTAATCCTAACTAATTATTAATTATGACGACCGACATTCAAAAATCTTTAATTAGTTATCAAGTTCCCTTGAAGCTTTGATGAAGTCAAGTACTTTCGCACGAAGATGTAAGCTTCACTTATTGGTAGGAAGTACTTAAAATAACGAGAACAAATTAAACAATTTAATTAAATACATAGTTTTGAAGTATATATGTGCATAACTACAGTCGGGCTTCTATTTAACGAACTTCCATTTTGTGAATTTCGCTACGTTGCGATTTTTTTCGAGAAACCAAGAACATTTTGGGAAATTTCTTCGTATGTGTATTTTTTATTTAACAAACTTTTCTTTGAGATCCACTTTCCCTATTTCCCAAAATATTTCAGAACGTAGGATATTTGAGAGGAAGATGAAGACAGAAAAGGATGAAGAAATCATTAAACCTTCATATAATGAAATATTAAAATCATTTGAAGCAATCTGAAAGTAGATAAAAATTTACAGGATAAAGGTGTATCAATTGCTATTTTAATTATGTCTAGTATTTATGAATTTGAAACCTGTTTTGTGTTTAAGTACTTCAAATGGTGATTTTCTATTTAACAAATTTTTCATATAAGGAACTTTTTTTATTGGGATTTAGCTACTTCGTTAAATAGAGATCAGACTGTATTTTGAATAATTGCCCAAAAAGTAATAGCACAAAAAAATTTTCTACTACTAATATAAAAGAATTAATTAGAAAGCAATAAAATTATCATAATTTATTTATAAAAGTAAACTTTTTTTCATCCATCATGAAATTGTAATTTATGTGAATGTTTGTATTTTTTATAAAAATTCATATAAATTTGCGAGTTATAATTTATTATGTGAACAATTTAAAATATTTTTCTCTCACTATAGTGCGTTTGAAGACATTGTCACGGATTACGAAGATGAATCTTCACAGTTTATTGAAAGAATTGATTTCTTAGACAACTGTCCTTCAAATGTAGAGAGTGAGTATAATTTAATTCCTACTATTAGTTTGCACTCTCCTTAAATCTTGTTCACATTTTCAATCGTTAATAAAATAATTTTTATTCATCCACTCAAGATGAAATACATTTTTTTAACATGTAGTGGATAACAATTGATGTTAATACAGTTTTTTTTTTCAAATATAATTCATTAATTAATTTTAGTTTTGTATGGGAGAAAAATATAAAAAATATAATAAAAAGTAACAAAATTAAAAAAATTCTTGACTGAAATAGGAATTGTTTTGAAAAAAAATTATGTTACTTGTTATTTATAATATTTTAATTTTTTTCACATAAGTTAGCATTTTATTAATTATCATTTGTTAATGGTATGTACCAATTTGAAAATTCAATTATTATTATACGATTATGCAAGAATCATTTCTTTAATGTTCATCTTTATTCCTTCTAATGACTATTTAACAATAAGCACAGTGTATTTTCGCAAAAGTTGAGGCATATGCAATAACAATAGATCGAAATTTTCACAATAGATTAAGCGATGTCATTATCAGTTCAGTTTTCGTTAAAAGATTCATATTTTTAATTTTGGGGTAAGTTTTTTTTTAAATATTTTTTCTTACTATAGATTGAGGATAGAGTCGGAACAACATATAGTGTATAGAATACGTGGTGAATATTAATAATTGCCTTTTCTTCTTCCTTCCTTCCTCACTGGCTCGACAGCCCAGGATGGGCCTTGGCCTTCTCCAGTAGTTTTTTCCAAGCTGTCCTTCTTTTGGCAATGGACTTCCAATTCTTTATTTTTAATATAGATAAATCTTTCTCCAGGGTATCTAGCCATCTGAGATTTGGCCTGCCCCTTCTACGTGTTCCTGTCGGCCGGGCATTGCCTTTTTTAATTATTAATAATTGGATTAATCGGAAAAATAATAAACCAGTGATGCGTGTACTCTCGTATTCTCCCAGTATTCTTAATGTTATAGTTTTTTTAAGGTTAATTGCCTATATTCCCTACACTAATGTTTTTTAAGGTTGAGGGCCGTTGATTCACTAAAGTGACTTTTTTGAAGTTTAAGTGCAGCTATCCTATCCGATATACTTTAGTCCTGAATTCATCATTCATTACACGCACGTTTTTAAAAATTAAATGCCATTGCCCGATATTGACTACAGTAAGATTTTTGCGGTTAAAGTGTTATTTGTATTCCAGAAGAAATTAATTTATCGAATAAAGAAACTGCTATTTTTTTATTGTTGTTAACTGTAACATTTTTTTTAATGTGAAGAAAGAAATAATACAATGTTTCGATCGTTGCGGTTTAAATTTCTGTGATGGCAAGATTGATTTAGATAGCTAAACTGAAATATTCCCGATTTAATCAAATTAATGATTCGCCAAATTATTATTTCTTTTCTGAAAGCTCCTCACAAACCTATCAAGAAGCATTGCCCGAATTTGCTTTTAATATGTACGTTAAGTATTTTAAAATACTTTTTTAGTACATCAAAAAATAATCTGATGTTTTCAGACTGAACTTTGGCTCTTAAACTAATGATAAAGGTAATAATCAGCAAATTTCTTACATATAATGACGTCATTTGAAATAAAAATTTACTTAGGATCATTTTTTAGCTTTCAAACATAAGCAACTTTATGTTTTCGACTGAACATTGACTCTTAAACTAATAATAAAAGTAATAATCCGCAAATTTCTTATGTATAATGACGTCATTTGAAATAAAAATTTACGTAGGAGCATTTTTTAGCTTTCAAACACAAGCAACTTTATGTTTTCGACTGAACATTGACTCTTAAACTAATGATAAAATTAATAAGCCGCAAATTTCTTATACATAATGACGTCAATTGAGAAAAATATATACTTACTTAGGAGCATTTTTTAGCTTTCAAACATAAGCAATACATGGATTTTGGACCGAATCCAAACTTTAAGTCATTTCATTTTCGAGGATCTTCTCTTCAAAGAGAAAAAACACCTTTAACTTTTTTCATTACAGATGCTGATCTATCAAAAACACGAGTTATAAGTGTAGATCTTTCGACATTTCTCCCACCTTTGGAAGATCCTGTGACAACTCTTCAAAATGACTTCGGCTCAAAAAACTCTCTCAACTGCACATACAAAATTGCGAATGTTGAAGGAAAACCAACCTTGCTAGCTTTACCAATGGCAGTAGCTCATCCTTATAACTATGAGAAAGATAAAATACACCAAAACTCTACAGAAATTTTAGTCGAGCAGGACTCACAACCAGCCATCAAAAATGAGTGTGTGCAATTCCCAAATCTTAATAAGACATCTGACTTTGAAGTTTTCCCTTCTGTGAGAAACAAGCCATTTGGAATAGAACTAGATGATTTCTTACCTGTAAGTAACAATTTATTCACTATTTACTCAAATTTTTATAATAAATGGCAGAAATTTTAAGTATCCACAGTTTCACAATCACGTCTTTTAATTTTATTGAACTCAAATTAAACATAAATTGATGTAGTCTTATTTAATTATAGTTCNTAAACCAAATTTTTGAAAAAGAAAAAAAATACTTCTTCATTATGTCAAAACACAATTATGGGCCGAGTTTCGTGCCTGGGCGAGGCTTCTGGGGCTATATATTGTGATTACAGACAGACACACACACAGCCGCGTGTATTATTATGTATAGATAATGACTATTTAGCAATCCTCACAGTGTATTTTCGCAAAAGTTGAGTCATATGCAATAACAATAGATTGAAATTTTCACAATCGATTAAGCTATGTCATTATCAGTTCAGTTTTTGCTAAAAGATTCATATTTTTAATTTTTGTTAATATTTTTTCGTACTATAGATTGAGGATAGAGTCGGAACAATATATAGTGTATAGAATGCGTGGTGAATGCTAATAATTGCCTATTTTAATTATTAATAATGGGAAAAATAATAAAGCAGTGATGTGCGTACTCTCGTATTCTCCTAGTATTCTCAATGCTATAGTTTTTGAAGGTCAATTGCCTATATTTCGTACACTAATGTTTTTGAAGGTTGAGTGCCGCTATCCTATCCGATATGCCTTAATCCTGAATTCATCATTCATTACACGGATGTTTTCAAAAATTAAAAGCTATTGCCCGATATTTACTACAGTAAGGCCTTCATGGTTAAAGTGTTATTACAGTTCCAGAAGAAATCAATTTATTGAATAACGAAACTGCTATTTTTGTATTATCGTTAACCGTAACAATTATTTTTAATGTGAAGAAAGAAATAATACAATGTTTCGATCTTTGCGGTTTAAATTTCTATGATGGCAAGATTGATTTAGATAGCTAAACTAAAATATTCCCAATTTAATCAAATTAATGATTTGCCAAATTATTATTCCTTTTTTGCAAGTTTCTCACAAACCTATCAAGAAGCATTACACGAATTCGCTTTTAATATGTATGTTAAGTTTTTGAAATACTCTTTTACTTTATTAGTACATCAAAAAACAAATCTGATTTTTTCGACTGAACATTGACTCTCAAACTAATGATAAAAGTAATAATCCGCAAATTTCTTATATATAATGACGTCATTTGAAATAAAAATTTACTTAGGAGCATTTTTTAGCTTTCAAACATAAGCAATACATGGTTATTGGACCGAATCCAAACTTTAAGTCATTCCATTTTCGAGGATATTCTTTTCAAAGAGAAAAAAATACCTTTAACTCTCTTTATTACAGATGCTGATCTATCAAAAACACGAGTTATAAGTGTAGATCTTTCGACATTTCTCCCACCTTTGGAAGATCCGGTGACAACTCTTCAAAATGACTTCGGCTCAAAAAACTCTCTCAACTGCACATACAAAATTGCGAATGTTGAAGGAAAACCAACCTTGCTAGCTTTACCAATGGCAGTAGCTCATCCTTATAACTATGAGAAAGATAAAATACACCAAAACTCTACAGAAATTTTAGTCGAGCAGGACTCACAACCAGCCATCAAAAATGAGTGTGTGCAATTCCCAAATCTTAATAAGACATCTGACTTTGAAGTTTTCCCTTCTGTGAGAAACAAGCCATTTGGAATAGAACTAGATGATTTCTTACCTGTAAGTAACAATTTATTCACTATTTACTCACATTTTTATAATAAATGGCAGAAATTTTAAGTACCCACAGTTTCACAATCACGTCTTTTAATTTTATTGAACTCAAATTAAACATAAATTGATGTAGTCTTATTTAATTATAGTTCAATAATTAGCCCAGTGGCCTGCGTAGGGTTAGGGAACTGCCCTTGCATCAGAAAGGTTCTGGGTTCGAATCCCGGGCAAGGCATGGATGTTCTTTCCTCTTCTCTGTATTATCTGTCCTGTCTGTGGGCGCTAAGTTGGCCCACCTAATATGGTGCCCCTGAAAGAGGGGCCAACAAATCTGCACTGCAAATGCCTGTATGACCTAGGTCATTCTCCAGGTGAACATTGGTGAGAAAAAAAAATAGTTCAATAATAATGTTCGCATTTTACAAGGTGTTCTAAATTAAACAGTTTTCAAAGATTTATAGCATGAAAATGATTAAGGTTCGAAAATAACAGCCTGCTATAAATCCTCATGTAAGATCTAAATTTTATTCCCAGAATTTTTTTTCTTTTACTTCTGAAAGTTATCAACAGATGTCGCTACAAATTCCTTCTACTAACCTTTCATTTTACTAACATCGTCTTCTGATTACGTCAAGTGATTGAGGCTAATGAATATTTCGTAAATATCGTAGTTTGATTTTTCTTCATAAAAGATTTCACAACATTCGAAAATCTTTCGAGATCATCCTTCGGGAACTTTTTGTTCGAGAAACAAAAGCTCTGAAATTATAATTAATGCAGTGTTAAATAATTGCTTAAAATTGCTTATCTTTAAAAAAAAAATAAAAAAAAAAGGCTAAAACCATTTTTTTTGTAACACCCTGTATTTTATCACTGGCATTAAACAATTGATTCATAGCAAACAATTGATTCAAAGGATAAGGGATCAAGTATTGGAACAAACTAACCTCAGTACCTTTATGGAGTGAAATTAATCAAATGAAATTAATCCACATTAGTGAAATTATTCAAATGAAATTAATCTACATTAAACTAACTAAACCACATGAGTCATCTGCCTCCGGATATTTTTCGTTTCAGCTCTTTCTGTCTGTATACCTTTCAATCAGCAATGTCAGAATTTAAACCTGAATCTCCCCTATTAAAACTGAGGGCAGCATTCCCATAAAGATTGATATATAATTTGTTTGATGATTGATTGGTTATATTTATTTTTTGCATCTGAATCTTTTTTACTCATAAAAACTTTTATGAGGCTCATGATCTTAAATTGCTGCAATCTTTGGAAGCTTTTCAATAGTTCTACTGTGATAAATTTTCTTGCATTAGGAAATTTAAAAAAAATAATATTGTTTGAAAATGATATTGGGTTTAATTTCTTGTAATATTTATTTTTCTTAAAAAAAGTAGAATTTTGGGTGCTTAAACTAAGTTTTTTTCCTTTTTTAAGTGGGCAAAGTTGATTTAATATCTGTAAAAATCGCTTAGTATTTGTTTTTGTTTGGTATTAATTTCCTTGAACTATTGCAAAAACCCTTTCCCGATCCCCAACTTATGTTACGTAGACTATATTCTAATGACGATTGCAACACATTTTATGACATAATTAAAATTCTTTTTTAAATTATTACGTTTTTAAAAGAAATATTATTGAAAAATAGATAAAAAAATGTTACTCTCATAAATTATTCCTTCGAAATATGTTTATGTCTTTTATTTATTTACCTTAAACTTAAACGGTTCCACCGTAATGCGCTCAACGTCGCGTGAGGGTCCATCTATCTACCAAAGCGAATGTGTCATTACCTGCGTGAAGGATCAAAATAGTGATAGTATGTCATCGGATAATCCTTAGGCATGTTTCTCAAAATCCGTCGCCAATAGCCCATTGTGCAACCCTACTACAACGTGAACAAAGTACTACTGCTACATTTTATTTATTATTATTTTGATATTTTAAAGTATAAAATATCTGTAAGCATTTGAGTGCATAAATATTCACGTTAAAAAAGTTACAAATAATAGCATTTTTTGTAATTTATAATAAAATGTCACTATTTGAAATGTCACTACAATAAATGAAACTATTTGAGTTCTGAAAAAATGGTTAAAACAAATCGTTTTGCACAATTAAATAAGAAATATACGAACGTTTCTAGAATTTGAATTATAAATTATAAATTAGATTTTTTTTTTCTAAGCATAGATCCAAGTTTGTGAATAATGTATTAAAATGCATATTCTGATCCTAATCTTACTCAAGATAAATAATAAAATTCAAGTAAAAATACCAAATTTATCTCAAACATATTTATAAGTCAAACATACCGTTTATTCGTAAAAATTTCTTTCCGTCTTATTGTATCAATTTTTGACTTTTATGTCTCGTTAACCTTCATGACTTTTGACTTTTATGTCTCCTTGGAATAGTTAGTTATGAAAAATATGCTCTGAATTACTTTCATTGCATATACTCTTTTAAATTGATTAAATTTATTGTAGAATTTTCAATTCATTTCATTTTCCATGAAGCAATCATACAAAATTTATTCAAATTTCATTCACTTTCCAACTCAATAAGATTCATTCCACTGTATATGAATACAGATAATGTGTGTATGTAAAGTTAAGTAATCCAATATTTTCAAGAAATCAAGCATGAATATGATAATTTTGTTGGGAAATTGGAAAACAATAAAACTTTAACCAAGTAAATGGAATTAGAAATCTTGGAGAAGTAATTATTGTATTTTTATTTTCTCAATTCAATTAAAAAATGACGCTAAATTCAAAAATCGAAATAAAGTATAAGACAGATGCAAGATAATTTACTCTTAAACGTTTTTGTCAAATTTATGTTTTATCTCTTTCTTTCTTTCTTTCTTTTTTTTTTTTGCCTCGAAATAAGAAAGGAAAGATCTGGTATAATGCTCTCTAATTACTGGAAAACGGGTGCACTAATTTACATAGCGCCTTCCTCTCTTTCTTTCTTAAATTTCCAATCCTATGTTTCCTAAATTTAAATTCTTTTTTTCTTCTTAAATTTATGAATATTAGGAGGAGGATTTACCAATCATCTCCACACTCTCGCGAGGCATAGTTTTGTTTCTTCCACATATCAGTCAATAAAAAAAACATATAACCATGTGATAAATGCAACATGCTAACTGTCCAAACGTTTTACTTCTATATGACATATGAAAAATGTCAAAAAGAGATACAATGGCATACAAAAATTGAAGACGAAATGGAAAAACTTACATAACAGCTAAACAGGCAGTTACAAAGGAGGAAAAGTTCATTGAGAAGACCAATCACTGTAAGGTGAGTCGTAATCACTCAGGGGGTTTTTCCGTTCTCCCTCCAATGAGGTGAACCGGGTTCGAATCGCAGCGATGGCTGGGATTCAAATTACGTCTCCGGCTTGCACCGACCACAGCACTGATGTCAAATATACTCAGTGGTACACGGATCATAGGTTAGAGTCTCCTCGCCGTCGGACTAACTGTGGGAGGTTTTCGTGGATTTCTTCTACTCGTTACACAGATGCTGGGTAGTTCCGTCAAAATTCCTCCATGAAGGCAAATTTCTCCCAATACTTGATCCAAGAGTACCCTTGTCTTCCGGATTGGGTTCAAAATTACAAGACTACGGAGTTGAACATTAGTAGTCGTAAGGTCGAAAATTGGGTCTGTTTTCAACGACGGTTATAAAATGAAATAAAATCTCTGTAAGGTAAAATAGAAAATTTGCATATATGCGCCATGACGTACCGGGGGCGTGTCGTAAGAAAATAAAACGAACTGGCATGGTTTATTGTTGCTGTGGATTACATTTTTTTTTTCAAGTTGTTTACTTTTCCATGTTTACTTTTCCATGCATTTTGTTAAGTGGGTGAACTACATCACCAAAACAGAAGTTATCAAAAGCGAATTGTTTAATTTTATTTCTAGTAATTCTTCTGAAAAGTGTTTCCTGTAAAATAATTTAAAATCAACTGCAATTGAAATGAAAAAAGAAATAGTTGAGTATTGAGTGGCAAAATTACAGGAGAGAGAGTAAAAAATCTCCCAACTATTAGTGACGCCAACGATGCTTAATTTATGTTGGTATCAGAAAAATTAAAGGAGAAAATATATACTGATTCGTTTTGGGGACCCGTAAGAGATCACCATATTTTTGATGCCAATGGTTAATTAATTATGGCAATATACATTACTTGAAATTAAAGAAAAAACAAGCTATGTATTAAAAAACAAAGTTAATGGAGGAAAGGTATTTGTTCGTTTAGGGTTGAGTTTCTTATCTGATAATCGCGAAACGTGACCAGGAGTCGCCAAAAATTGCGGCAATTTTAATATTTCTTCAAGATTATAATTATTATAATTTTATAATACTAGAATATTTTTACTCAATGTATCTGAAAATAGACCAAGATAAGACAACACAAACAAAAAACGAAGCTGTTTCAACGCATTTTTTTATGATAAAAACATTCACCTTATTTGTTTTGCACGTGACGCTGTCAGTTCGTCGAAGGTCCAATGTATGCAAGATCCAAGTATTTTGGTAACACATGTACGCCGATTTTCTCAGTACTAACCTTCCTAATGGCTACACTTAATGGGCAGGTGTTAGAATTTACCCTTGTAATAAAATGCATTTTTATTATTGTGTTATATTTTTAAGATTATTACTTTTTTAAAATTCCAGCATTGTTTTATGTCTTAAGCTTAAAAGTTAAAGTTAATGACCTAAATGTGGAAGCATTATATTACAATACAAGTGAAGAAACTGACAGTACCATTTACGTTATACTTCTAGGGTCCCACAAAATTTTTGTTAACATTATGGGGTCACCAAACCAAAAGTTTTTAAGAAAAACTGATTTAGAGGAAATGATGCTTAATTTTGGCAATGCGTAATACTGGTATTATAAAAATTGGTTCAGTTTTTATAAGAGATTTTACAACGGATTTCTCGTATTTTCAGAAAATATTTTTCGAGTGGTAGCGAAAACATCGTATTAAAACTTTACTGAATTAGAATTAAAAGAACTTTCTTTCACCTTTACCTACAAATATTTTAAACGATATAAAGATCAAGCAGAGAAATGGTCATACTCTAAAGTTATTATCAAGGTTTTATAGTTATTATAGGTTTTATAGGGTCAAGATTTTATAGTTATTTCACAGTTATTATCAAGGTCTTTTTCTTTGTGCTTTGCTTGCTTTTTTTTAATTCGGCTTTAGTTTGCTATCGCTTATAAAGTATTTTGCACTAAACACAAATAGTGTAGGGTATGTAATTGGTAATAAATATAATAGCAAAGGTACAAAAAGTACTATATTAATATATTTGATAATTTGCTACTCCAATATTAAGCAGTTATAATACAGGTACTGTGAAAATAGGTGTCTCGAAGCCCTCAAAAGGAAGAAATACCGAAGAAAATTTCTTAGTAGTGATAAATTTTGACAATCAAGAGTTTCCTACGATCAACAACATTATGCCAAGTGATACTGAATACAGTTAATCTTTATTCTGATGGGATGAACTACAAGAAACGTGGTTTGCTTAATTTAATAAGTGAACTAACCGGGAAGGGCAGCAAATTATAATAAACAAATAAGTTATTGGAATTATTTTAACTTTATTAATTATGTTTCAGTTTTGTGCGTGACTTCGTAGTGTTGTTCAAGCAGGACTGAAGTATTGATTATTTTAGTTTCTTATCCCCCCCCCCATACAAAGAACAGATTTTCAGCTAATATTCAGTATATAAATTATTCAGCTCTTGTGCTGCTCTAATTCCTTTCCATCTAAGCTGTCAGAAAACAACAAGTTATGTTAACTGAATAAGCAAATAATGTGATTTAAATGTATTGGAATTAATAAAAATTTCTTTAAAATGTTAATTTGCTGAATTTGTAAAAAAAAAAAAATGCGAATTAATTATCATTTACGCAATTTGATACTTGCACTTCAAGAAGAAGATAACGGTCCCCACACATATCACCTATGACGTCAACTAAGGCTGATCACTTGTAAGTAAAATGGCGTGTTAAAGCTGAGCGAAGTTTCTCCAAATAAATTAGAATGTTAATTAAAGTGAAGTTAATTAAACCAGCACTGTATCGCACATCGAATCTGTTGAAATATGATTCTTCCTACTCTATGTTTTTCACTTAACTTAGATTTATAACTTGTTTATGTATTTTATTGTAATCGTGATATATTTTTGCTTTGTATACCTGGTAACTTCGATGCATAATTAATTTGCTTATGCTCTACGTGGCCTGTTGCCTGTCTTTGTGTTAAGTAAGAAATATATAGTGAAAAAATTGAAATCTTTGTGAAAGAATCTTTGTATAAGAATATAATAAGTCGCTTAGGAGAATTGGTACTTGGCTGGCTTGGCTTACTCGAAATAGAATGTGAAGAAAAGTTGCTAACGTAAACAGATGCCACGTTTCAACAATCAATCGGGGTCGAGTTACCTACACTACGTTACTCGCAAGTATCCCAATAAATAAGTCCTTTTCTCTAGTAAAAAACAAATAGAATCGCTTTTACAATACAATAAAACTGAATCGTTCGCTCAATTGAAAATATTTTTAATCGTTGATGTCTGAATTGTTCGAAAAGCAGAATTGTTTTTAACTTTAAAAAAAATCGTAGACTTCAGTATAGATTATTATTCTATATATGCCATGAGTATTGTTCTTGTTTTGGAAATATTGAGTACCTGAACACAGAATACTTTTATTTATATATGAAGTTCATCTTTATCTATTATAAAAAAAACGTCATTTGACATTTAATCAAAACTTTTATATTTTGCAGAGAAGTTTGTTGCAGCCCACTAAAGGTAGTTATAACTCATTAGAAATATCCGATGCAGAGGCCATATCATCCATATATAGAGGGCATGATTCTATGGTGAAAGTATTGGGACATCGTAAAATATACTTGCAAACAGTTTTGAGGACGTGGAGGACTGAAGGCTCAGTAGTAAGTCTATTTACAGCTTATTTCTCATTATATTTACAACTGATATTTAAATATCTTAAATTTTAATAAGAAGGCTGAATGTTGACATTTTCATAAAGTTTTTTTTAAAAAAAACTTTTGAGTTATTATTACTTTAATAATTTTGATCTCTCAGAAAATGATGACTATTTATTCCAATAAAAACTGAATGTGAACTGTAGCCCAATTTAATATGCGCACTTTTACTGGAAAAATCTTTTGACTTTTTATACATAAAAATGCTTTTTGGAATAACAGTTAAAAAATACAATACATTAATATTCAATCTAAAAATGTATTTTATCTTTTTAAAAATGTATTTTAAATAAATAATCTGAACTGAAACTCTCAACATTATACATATGTTTTTTTCGGGAAAAATAGCTTTTATATTTTGTGCATCAAATTTCTTATTGGTGTAAAGCTGATGAAAGGAGATAGCTCATTATACCAAGTTCCTGTTAAAATTTAAATATATTAATGAATTTTCAGAAGAAGAACAATTGAAACTAGTCAGACGCATTCACAAGTGGGTGAATTTTGTCTAGACATTGAGCAAACTAACTGTAATTTGAATAAGTTAATCTTATATGGAAGTTTTCAAACAGTATCAACGTCTATATAAATTACAATGAGGAAATAGTTATCTATATTATTACATTACCATCATCGTAATTCAGCGTAATATCTAAAATTAAAGTAGAAATGCCACGAAGCACTGAGAAAAAAATATGGTCAAAATTATTAGAATATGGTAAATCTGGCTTCATGGGAACGCCAAAAAACACGGTAATTTTTTACGAAATGCTTTGGTGAGGATTTTGGAAAAAATTAACAGTAAAATAACGTTTTGTAATATGCTTTAAAATTTGGTAAACTTCGGTAAAACTTGGTAATTTTAGCATGATATCTTAGAACATGGTAAAAATCCATTTATTTGGTTACATTTAATTTTCAGTTTGGTATTTTTACTAAATGTGTGGTACTAAGATCTACAATTTTAGAATTCAGAATTTAGGTAAACCGTTACCATAAATAAACGGAAAGGTTATAAAATGAATAATTTAAATACCGTTTATTTTGACTTTGGTTTTATTACCAGAATTTTGGATTTTTTTTACCAGAAATATCATTGCCAAACAGTACGGTAGTATTACAAATTTTTTTTCTACATATGATAAAAAAAATTAACAGGAGTTCCTTTAGATGAAATTTAGCTCGCTAAACGAATCCTTCACAAAGAACTTCTTATCGTTAAAGCAAACCATTCATAAAATATATTACTGTAAAATAGTACCTTTCACAAAATATTTAAAATATTTTATCTTGATAATGGATGGACAAAACATTATTTTCAGAAATTCTCAAGAATAATAATAATTATACAAGACTAAGACTCCACTAAAAAACCCAGATAGACCACTGGTTTTTTAAATTTTTCCCAGCACCACGGAAACAATACCTAATTTACACAAATTTTCAAAATTATGAGTAGCGTTTTGACAATTTCGCGACAAGAGGACTTTTTCCACAAAAAAAAGCCTGAAATAACCTCTGACAAGATATAACAAAAAAATAAAAAATTTATTTCGCATCAAGAAAATAATTTTGATCAAGTAAATTACCATTTGCTATCTCGCTATTGAAAAAGGCCATTCGTAAACCAAAAAAGGCTATTCGTAAACCTATCGTATGCCGAAAATCAGAAATCTCTAGGCATAAGACATATCAAGGTGTTCTCATCCCCCTAAATCTTCATTACACAAAATTTATAATCTTTTAATAAGCATTGAGAACCGTAATTTTTTACGTTAAATTCCATTAAGTACATCTAGTCCCTACCATAACTAGCATTGTTTTTTTTTAGTTAAATTAGAAGTAAATATTGAAATTTTTTGTCAAATATATCGAAAGAATAACACCAAGGAACTTAAAAACACACTGAGAAAAAAAAAGGTCTCCTCAAAAAAATAGCTCTGAAACAAATAATAGTAGAATTTAAAAACCTCGTGAATTTAAAGTTGAAACAGCATATACTCATTTTTATGTACAATACGGAGTCTCAAAAGTGATGTGGAGAGGTTCATTGGCAGGATTCGAAGTAAGGCCTTCAGGGTTGTTAGTAGAATGCTCTAACCACTATAGTTGTGCATCTCAGTCCAGGGAAAGTTGTAATTTGTCTAAAGAACTCCCCTAGCCATTCGTCTAAACCCGCTGCGGTGACTATGGTAACGAGGTATAACTATTTCAAGTAGGGGTGTGGGGTCATCGTTTAGGACAGGTTTTGGCTCCGGTCAGCGAGAGAGAGGGAATCTTTTCTTCTGTCTATTGTGTTAGCCTAGAGTGAAGAGAAGCTACCCTCCTTGAAATAAGCTATTCTCGCTTCCATAGCAGCAGATGGACTTGGACTTTGTGGTGGAGGAGTGCTTACCGTAGACAAACTATAGGAAGCTTTAAGTATTGGCCTCTGCAATAACATATCATGGCATGCATTCCATTCACTTTAAAGTTAAGATATAGCGGGAAAAAAGCAAAATGTGAAATTAAAATGACCGATTTCCTGACTAAGCTGTTGGAAACGTATTTTCCAAATTGCAACCCTCTGTACTATTGAAATTGGAAATTAGTATGTCATGCCCAGTTAGTATGTTAAGCAGAATTAGTGTGTATTACATATTAGGAAAACCAAGGTACACAATATGCGAGAACAGTTATCATTATCCTAAATTTACATTAATAAGCAAAATCTGTGATCTTGTAATATATAACTATTTAAAGAGAACCACGATTTTTATGGTAAATCGAAATGTACATTTACTTTTTGTTTCAGATATTTTTTTTAGTCTCATTTTGTCAGTACTACAACTCTTTTGATTAAATTCTAAATAAGTATGGAAAATATATATTTAACATATGCATTAACAATTAAGTTGATTTTGTTTTTCTAAATTGAAAGCATTCTCTTTTTCATAATAAATAAAAATTATCTTCCAATCTTTACTAACACAAGTTTTTCCGTAGTTAATTTCGTTTTCTATATATAAAGCCACATCTAAGAATTAAGAAGAATATTGATGATCTTTCTTTTATCAATTCTAGTAGAGCTTACAAGCCTTATTCATGATCAACTCACGTGCGCCGAATCATTATTCACTAAAACAAATCGAATTTTCTCTATCCAGTCATCTACAGATTACTAGTATTTTCCTTGATTTTTATTACTACTAGTGTATTAATGCATTTTATTTACTTTTTATTGATTCAGATTAATATATTTTTGATTCTTTCCTTCTGATAAATATGTTTTCCATCTCTAACATAAAATTTTAAACCAAACATTGGCTTATCTGTTTATCCCCAAAATAAGTTAGTTATTTAATTTTATATAACCTGGTTGGTAGGGCACTGAACTCACGTCTGGGAGAGCGGCAGTTCAAATTCAGCTGGTCTCCGTGTAATAAATGGTGACAAATTAAACCTCTGGTAGTACTGAATAGGAGATTGATCGTTCTCTGGTTCAGGTAAAATTGCGATCTGTGGATGAATGAATGGATGTATGAATGGGTCCGCCCTATGAGCGGGCAGAAGTCGAAGTCCGCTAAGTGTGTCAGAAATCAAATTCTAGGCCATAGATGGCGCCACTTGAAAACAAGAACAATCGCGCCACTTGCCCTAATGGCCTACGACAACAACAACAACATTTAATTTTATGAAAGTATGTAAAATGGTTAGATAAAATTATTAAATTTATGAACTGTTCGCTGCGGAATAAACTAAGATTGTAGATCACTTTAAGTTCAGTCTAGTTATAAATTGGAAAATTGTGCCTTGCATTAAAAAAAAAATATTTGTTAGCGCACGAAGAAAAAAATTCAGGTAAAATTACCTAACTGCATTTCTGGTCGAAAAAATCATAATTCTGGTTAACAAAAAAAATATATACGGTATTTAAAGCAATTGTTTGGTAATTTCCCGTTCACATAATAACGGTGAAATATAAATTCTGATTTTCAAAATTTTATTCCTTATTACCACAATTTTGTTAAAAATACAAAATTGAAAATTAAATTTATCCAAATAAATGGTTCTTACGCCATTGCAAATAAATTTACCAAATTTTACTGCATTTGCTAAATTTTATTGCATACTATTAAACCATATTTTAATGTCAATTTTACCATAATCGTTACTTAAGTGCTTTCAGGAAACTTGACGAGCATTTTGATTTTCCATAGAGCAAGAAAGACGGTAAATTTTACCGTATTCTAGTACTTTTGACCACACTTTTTTTTCCAGTGCAACAAATTTTTTTAGAGAAATAAGTAATTTTAAACTATAGGAGAAACTTATGTTAATATTATAAAAGTAATAATTTATTTTGCTTTAATTTTATTCTTATTTCCTTCAAATTTATGTCCTTTTAATAAACATTAACCCAACTTTCCAATTACATTTTTATTCACGAAGATTTCCATGAACATTTGCATTTACAAAAACATAAGTTTCCAAACAATTAAAGTGTGGCTCATATTTTTACGAAAATTGTTTATTAAAATTTTTCGACAACCTAATCAGTTTACGATTTTCAAATGATAGCTATATTCATATTATGAACGTTTCATATAATTTCGAAATTCATTTCCAAGTTAAAACTTTTCTTAAACTGTATAATTAAACTAACGATATATGGGTAACTAAATAATTTGTACATGTAATTTTTAACCCACTTTTTCAGGCTAGTTTGACGTCTGCTGTACATATAAGTGACTCTGCTGTCCTTGTAGATATTCTTACCTTGCTTGTTACAAAACCGTAAGTCTTTTTTCATTTTTTTAATTTATTCTTTCGTAGATTCAGACAGATTTCCTCCTATGCCACTGAAGGAAATAGATTCTTTGTCCCTCAGTGGCATAGGATGAAATCTGTCGCTATGTTTCGTCTTACATCTGGACACGATTACCTGAATAAGCATCTATGCCGCATCAACGTGGTTTCTGATCCTTATTTTATTTTATAATCATCGCTGAGCAGTCAACCCAATTTTTGGGTTTCCGACTACTATTGTTCAACTTCGTCGCTTTGTAATTTTGAGTACAATCTAGACAAGAGAACTCCTGGATCAAGCATTGGATGAAATTTTGCCTTCAAGAATGACTTTTTGATGAAACTAACCACATTTGCGTTACATGGAGAGGAAAACCACGAAAACCTCCCATTTTTTAGCTCGATGGCAAAGGGACTCCGTCTACCACTGAGGGCCGGGATAGCCTGGTCGGTAGGGCGCTGGGCCCATGTCCGAGAGTTCGTGGGTTCAAACCCCGCCGGCCGAAAACTCCCCGTGTAGTTGGTGATTGATGCACGTTAAAATCCTATCGAATCACAAAGTCCTCCATGTTCCCATAACAAATAAATACCTCTGGGGGTACTGAATTGGAGATCGATCGTTCTCTGATTCAGGTCAAAATTACGATCTGTGGATGCATGAATGGGTCCGTCTTATAAACAGGTGTGACGTATGATGTTGCAGAAGTCGAATTCTTGGCCATAGATGGCGCCACTGAAAAACAAGAATCGCATTCTCTGCATTAAATTTGCTCGGTTTCGCCAAGCAGGCTTGCTCGTGTGACAAGTGGCATTAGTCACTTTTCTTCTTAAAAAACCATCTTTATAATGTTATTACAAATGCTACCATTAAGGAATGAAAGCTAAAAAATGACAACTTTCACCGGTGAATGTCAACATTCACATAATTGCAAGGTGTACATATCGCAAGGCTCACATAATCTGAAGCATTTGCTAAATATTCTTATTTTTCACTTACACGGGAAGCTTGTCGACATTCTCCGGGTACTAATAGTAAATATTGAATAGGTTGCATTTTCTTTTCCGTTTTTTAGATGTTCACTGGTATTTCTTAAGGTTAAGTGCCACTGCATGTCATACATTTGTCGGATATTTTTAATACTGGTGCTTTTCTTTACGATACTAACTCTCTGTATGCATTTGCCCGGTATTCCCTACACTGATGTATTTTAGGATAAATGCCACTGCCAAATTAAAAAAAAATAATTAATGATGCCAAATGTACAAGAATATATGATAGTAATGCGTATAATAAAGAAAACTTAATGTTGGCATTCACCGCAGGACATTCTCAAGTTTCAACCATTCACAGCAACACTTATTAATTTAATAATATAAAAAAAGTTATCGTTATTTAAATTTTTAAGTACACCAAACATTTCATATTATATAAATTTATTAGTCATTTAAAATCAATCTTTTTTTTTTATTTGCTCTTTATCTAAATGTCTTCTTTTAACATCTCCAATAATTAGAAATGTTCCTTCAACATTCAAAGATTTCTAAGATTTTAATTTAAAAAAATTTTATAAATATGTGAAAGAAAGAAATTTAATTAATGTTTATTAGTATGTTGTATTTTTTTAATTAATAGAAATTCATAACACTAACTAGTAAAAAATAAATTTTCAAAAATTAATTTAGATTGCAAAGAAGGAATTCCAATTACACGAGCTTAATCCGTAAGACCGCTTCTCTATATATTGAATTAATTCGCAATCATTCTATACGATAGCATAGGAAACTTTAGAAAGATTTAAAAACTGTAATTTATACTTTCGATGGATTTAATTTAAAATAAATTGTTATCGTTAGTGAAATTTTTTGGTGCATGCGAGAAAAATACAATAATATAAAATTTCATAACGGTGTAAGATAATAAACTTTTAAATATGTCACTTTCTACAGACATTTGATTACATTTTTAAAATCGAGACAGTTTTAAAATCAATTTTTTTTTTCTAGAACTGCCTGGACGTTAGATATTTGCCAACTTCTTTTGCCAGTAATCTGTGACTTGTTGAAAAGCAAATATGAAACGTAAGTAATCAAAGTATTGATGTTTTTATAACTACAATTCCAACTTGAATACAATTTGTATCAAAACTACTCAACCAAGCAAGTAATGTCATCAAAATATATATCTTGAAATTGTGCTAAAAGTATATTCTTTAAAGAAGACCCCGAAAGAGTATTCATCGTGCTTCCGGGAAAAATTCCAGATCAAATTACGGTAAAATCCTTTTTTATCGGTACATGTTACGGAATAAAAAGTTTGATGTACCACAATTTTTATAGTAATAATTACCGTATGTATAAATGAATAACTCTAATTAAATAAATATTACTGTAATAATGACGGTATAGTATTTTACCCCAAAAAGGGATTTAAAGGATGACACACCCAAAGTGCCGGTACTTTATACTGCAGTTTGAACCGAATTTTTTTACAATGTAGCCATGAATCTCATTTTGCAAAATGTTCGAACTCGGGTACACTACAGTAGAACACGGAGAAAAGAAATTTCTAATTAAATTACCTTACTGTATGATAATGGCGTTTCTGGTTAAAANTATATGTTTATTCAGAGAAAGTACGTTTTTGTGTCTGATTTCGTAACTTAATTAATAGTTAGCACTAATTAATTAGCATATTTGAGGTCACCCCCAGGAACCATTAAGATTGACACTTAGTTCGTGAAAATCGGATCATTAGAACGAAAGTTATTCAGGGTGATATCTTTTTTTTTTTTTGCGGACTGTACATTGCGTGATCTCCACGAAGAGATGGACTTGCCTCACCTGTTTAGATACCTTGCTCTTCACTTGACATCAATCTGGGAACGCTACAGGGCTGCTCGCTTTCATTTGTAGATTAAATGTCGTCTTTTTAGTATTCAATAGTTTTTTAATGTGCCAGTGAAAGTAAAAGGAATTAATCTTTCCCTATCCGTTATCTCAATGAGATGCAAACTACAAATACAACTTAACAGTTGAAAGGACGGAAAAGTATATAATTGCACTCTGCATCTTGCCCAAATCTCGATGCGTATACGTATTCAAATCCTACTGTAAATAAAGAAGATGATAAAAAAAATACAACATGGTATCTGGATCTTAAGGATGTTTTAAAAACGACCATTTTTTTCTTCTTAAATAACCATCTTTATATTGTAATTACATATGTTACCGTTAAAGAACGAATGTTGGAAAATGACAACTTTCACCGGTGAATGTCACCATTCACATAATCGCAAGGCGTTTGTCCGAAGCATTTGCTAAATATTTTCCACTTACACTGGCAACTTGTCGACATTCTCCGGGTACTAATGGTAAATATTGAATAGGTCGGTGAGTTGCATTTTCTTTCCTGTTTTTTAGGCGTTCACTGGTATTTTTAAAGGTTAAGTGCCACTGCATGTTATACATTTATCAGATATTTTTAATACTGGTGTTTTTTTAAGATACTAACTCTCTGTATGCATTTGCACGGTATTCCCTACACTGATGTTATTTAGGATAAATGCCACTGCCAAATTTAAAAAAAATTTAATGATGCCAAATATACAAGAATGTATAATAATAATGCGTATAATATAAAAAATATAATGTTGGCATTCACCGGAGGACATTCTCCAGTTTCGACCATTCACAGCAACACTTATTGATTCAATAATATAGAAAAAAGTTACCGTTATTTACATTTTTAAATGCACCAAACATTTCAAATTATATAAATTTATTAGTCATTTAAAATCAATCTCATTTTTTTATTTGCGCCTTATCTAAATTTCTTCTTTTAACATCTCCAATAATTAGAAAGGTTCCTTCAACATTCAAAGATTTCTAAGATTTTAATCTTGAAAAATGTAATAAATAAATAAAAGAAATAAATTTAATTAATGTTTATTAGTATGCTGTATTTTCTTTTAATTAATAGAAATTTACAGCACTAACTAGTAAAAAATAAACTTTCAAAAATTAATTTAGACTGCAAAGAAGGAATTCCAATTGCACGAGCTTAATCCTTAAGACCGCTTTTCAATATATTGAATTAATTTTCAATCATTCTATACGATTACATAGAAAACTTTAGAAAGATTTAAAAACTGTAATTTATACTTTCGACGGATTTAATTTAAAATAAATGGTTATCGTTAGTGAGATTTTTTTGCGCATGCGAGAAAAATATAATAATATAAAATTTCATAACGGTGTAAGATAATTAACTTTTAAATATGTCACTTTCTACAGACATTTGATTACATTTTTAAAATCGAGACAGTTTTAAAATCAATTTTTTTTTCTAGAACTGCCTGGACGTTAGATATTTGCCAACTTCTTTTGCCAGTAATCTGTGACTTGTTGAAAAGCAAATATGAAACGTAAGTAATCAAAGTATTGATGTTTTTATAACTACAATTCCAACTTGAATACAATTTGTATCAAAACTACTCAGCCAAGTAAGTAATGTCATCAAAACATAGATCTTTAGATTGTGCTAAAAGAATATTCTTTAAAGAAGACCTCGAAAGAATATTCATTGTGCTTCCGGGAAAAATTCCAGATCAAATTACTGTAAAATCCATTTTAATCGAGACATGTTACGGAATAAAAAATTTGATGTACCGCAATTTTTCTAGCAATAATTACTGTATGTATAAATGAATAACTCTAATTAAATAAATATTACTGTAATAATGACGGTATAGTATTTTACCCCAAAAAGGGATTATATGGATGATACACCCAAAGTGCCGGTACTTTATACCGTAATTTAAACCGAATTTTTTTTATAATGTAGCCATGAATCTAATTTTGTAAAATGCCATATCTCATTTTGCAAAATGTTCTAACTCGAGAACGCTGCAGTAGCACACGGAGAAAAGAAATTTCTAATTAAATTACCTTACTGTATGATAATGGCGTTTTTGGTTAAAAGAACCACAATTCTAACCGTCCTTCTCGCTCCCGTGAAAATGACGGGGTGAAGTTTCGCCCTCTATTTCTCTCTCCCGTGATATTGACGGGCTGGAGTGTTCAGTAGTAACGCGCCTATAAAAATAAACTAATTTATTTCTTTTTCCCGGAAAACATTTCATTTCTCATTTTACACACCAGATGGCAGTACCAGGCTATTTTTAAGGTAATTGTAGATAGTTAGTTTATTTTAAACTAGTTGCAGCACTAATCAAATACGTAATACAAATACAAAAGACAAAAAATAGGCACTTTTATGACCATTTTCTTAAAAATTAACCGACCGTTAAGGGGTTAATAAAACCAAAATATACGGTGTTTAAGTCATTCATTTGGTAATTTTTTCGTTCATATGGTAATGATTAACTGGAAATTCTAATTTTCAAAATTATAGTTCTTATTACCATACATAAGTAAAAAATATAAAACTGTAGCGTAAATTTAACCGAATAAATTTTAGTTTATGCTCTGCTCCAAAGATATCATGATAAAATTACCACATTTACCTAATTTTATCACATATTTAAAACCATATTTTATTGTTAAATTTACCAAATATGTATCTAGTAAAATGTATCTAGTTTTTTGATGTTCCCATAAAACCAGAAACACGATACAATATTTTGGTAGCTTTGACCGTCGTTCTCTTTTTTCCGTACATATATTATTAACGCAATTTCATTTATTGATATAAGTCTCACTTCTATTATATGTTTAGTTTAAAAATCATTAACATATTTTGTGCCAAAAAAATAATTTTATTTCACCCCCTGATTGTTTTTGCATGAAATTAGTAATTTTTATAAGTTTTGGTTAAGTTCAGATAATCTATTATTGGTATTAACTTACGCTTTTATGTAATTAAGAAATTTATGTGTGGAAGTTCTCAATAAAAATGAGTACTTTAAAATTAAGGAAATAAAATTGGAACTAATTGTTTAAATTAATGGAATCTTGGAATTAATGGTTTAAATAAAAGAAAGTTATAGATATATTTTATGTATTTAATTTAAATTTCATTACTTAATCAGCGAGGTTTGCATTAACTCCGTTATAAGAACGTAGTTAATCGCTAATAAAAATTTCGTTATAAGAACGTAAATACTAATAACGAAAGAACTTTCATTCGTTCGTTATTAGTATTTAATATTTCTATTAATTTTTGCACCTACGAGGATAGAATCTTGTAATCGAAAATACGACCGAATCTGACCTAATAGAACCTAATCTGACCTACCGCCAAATCTGACCTATTGCAAAATAGAATTAACTATTTGATGCAGAATTTTCATTAAACATAGTTTTCATAATTTTTTTTATTGTTTTGTATTAATTTAGTTCAAAATAAATAAAGAGTATTATCTTCAGCATTTTTATAATTTATGGTTTTGAAATATAGCATGAGGCACCCGTGTCTTTTTTTGTGTTAAAGATAAAATCTTTCAAACAATATTTTTTTTCATTTGAAACTCATTTGTAGCTATTTAGATCTAAAAGAAACAGTGATTCATCATTGAAATTTCTTTAATTTTCAAAATTTATTATTGATAATTTTTTTTATGTAAATAAAAAAAATTTCCATCTGCTCTCCTATTTTATTTTATATTTTAAAACAAAAATAATTCCGTTTATCTAACAGTATTTTTAGTAACTATTAAACTGTTTTTTAGTAATTAAAAATACCAAAATACTAATANTATAATTAGAGCGTCCGAAAAATATTAAAGAGGGACACTGGTGTCCCATCTGCATCAAAGGGTTAATCGTCAATCGATCGAAATTTCAAGCACTTTCCTTCTAACTAATGTTCTCAAATTGCAATAGGAGCTGATCCAATGCAACTAAAAATTGCTGCCTAAATAGAACAAACAAAATTTTATCATTTATCACCAATCTATAGGTCAATCATTTTCTGGCGTAACAAATAGACGCAAAACTAAAAAGAACAAAATGATTAAAGGGAATAAAACTTGAAAAAAAAACTACTTTTTTCAAATGGAAAAAAAAGAGGAGAAAATAGTTTTATTTTTGTCCAAGCTAAAGCGAAAAACATTGGCTATCTCTTATGTAATAAATCTCTTTCATAATCTAAAATTTCCTCTGTGTATTTTGAATGTGAAGCACCTTGCGTTTTTAATTTTTATGATTGACAAAAATGAAATTTCTTCTTTTTTAGACAAGTTGAAAACGCAGTTTTAATTTTTTTTTATGTTATGTTTTTTTTATGTTTTTCTTATGTTATTTTATGTTATTAATCATTTTATCATTATTACAGAATACATTTAAAGTGTACTTCATACTTACTTTGGTTTTAAAATATACTACTTGTGTGCTTGTGGGATTAATTTAAACTTGTTGCTTACATGGTTAATTTTAAATCACAGTCACTTCATCTATTTTTTTTTTTAAAAACTGTTCTCCAAGAGAGTTTTCTCATTTTTCTTATAGAAAATGAAAGAATTTCAAAGTACTAATCAAATTACTTTATACAAACATTCGAAAGTTAATGTTAGCTAGATAGTTAAAATAAGATATACCTCCAGTGTTTGTGTTAGAAAGTAGAAGTAAGGAATTTAAACTTCCTAAAAAAAATACTTCCGGTGAAGTTGAATTTTAATCATTTTTTAACGTTTCAGCTAATTGCATTAGTTTCGAAAGAAAAATACAATTTGAAGTACTAATAGAATTAATTGCGTTTTCTTTTTATCTGAAAACTTTAACTAGATTGTTTCAGCTTATTACTTTCCTGTCTGCAAAAGTAATTGCGTTACACAAAAAAAGTAATTGCAATAACATACTATAATTTGCAACAAGATAATGGAAAGATATAATAGGTTTTTTTTAAATTTGTTATAACTTTGTAACAATATGCAGCATAAGTAAAAAGACAAAACTCAACAATATTTCTTAATTAAATTTGACATCTATATATAACAAATTTATTCAAAATATGAATTTAATTAATATTGATTTTTTATGAAATACTTCTTATTGAATGGAGAATCCATTTGAATAATTGAAATCATACTTAATTAAATAATATGACAATTTTGATTGCTAGCAAAAGGTTTTAATAAAATAAAGAAGTAACTTTGAGTGTTTTTAAATTACATTAAATGGACAATATAAAATAATAAATAAAATTATAAAGTAAACCTAAAGTAAAGAATTTTGAAGAATATTTAGGAAACATTATTTAAATCAACCTAAATCTATAGAGAAACATCTATAGAAAGACATATAATTCAGAAAATAGTTAAATTCAATTAAAACTGTAAAAATAAATAAATAAAACAAAACTAAACAATTAATTATAGAACAATTTTTCGTGGAAAATAATAGTAATAAAATGAAAATTGAGAATTGTAAATATTTTCTCTTTTCATCGATTTCTAACCTCAAATTATATTGGGAAAAAAATAATATTTAGATAAAGAAAGAAAATAAGAAAGGAAAATAATAATAATAAAATGAAAGTAGAAAATTATAAATATTTCCTCGTTTCATCTCTTTCTAACCTCAAATTATGGAAACTATAAACAAATAATAATAATTAGATTTAAAAAAAGGAAAAGAAAGGAATATTATTAATAAAATGAAAATGAAGAATTTTAAATATTTTCTCTTTTTACCTGCTATTCCCAAATTATATTGGAAACTATAAAAAAATAATAATTATAATAATAAAAAAAAATTATAAATAATAATAAAAAAAAAAGAAAAGAAAATATAATAATAATAGAATTAAAATAGAGAATTATAAATATTTTCTCTTTTCATCTCTTTCTAATCTCAAATTAAATTGGAAACTAGAAAAAAATAATAATTTGATTAAAAAAGAAAATAGAGAACTATAGATATTTTCCCTCTTCATCTTTTTCTATTCTCAAATTATGTTGGAAACAGTAAAAAAAAATAATAATTTGATAAAAAAAAAGGAAAGAAAATATAATAATAATAATAAAATGAAAATAGAGAATTATAAATATTTTCTCTTTTCCTCTCTTTCTATTCTCAAATTATATTGGAAACTAAAGAAGAATTAATAATAATAAGATAAAAAGAATAGAACTAAAAATCGAAAACTAAAAACTAGCTTTAATTTTTTTTTTACGGAAAAAATGCCTTGTCACTATACGTTAATCTATTCATGCTAATAGCATAGTTCTGCAATAAGTAATAAATTCGCAGTTTTACAAGATAGCTTCATTATTTTTGGATTCAACTTCTATTTACAACACATTAACTATAATGATATTATTATTTTTCAGATATATCGTTATTGGGTGCATGTCTTTGAAATTAATAGTGAAGAATTTTGCTCAGGTCATAAAGTTCAATATGTCTTCTCATAAAGGTATAGGAATTGACATATCACGAGAAGAGAGGTAAAAAAAATATCATTTATTTCTTTTGTTACATCCTCTTAATCTTCTTAACTAAGCACTATTTTTTACTAAAGTTAGATTGCTTTTAATTGACCATTTAAACACAGTTATTCATAAGTTCGTCTAAATAAGAGCGTAGGAAAAAAAATTAAAATTATTCAGTTGACCATCATAAAAAAGACCTTTTGAGAGAAAGTAATAAAATTTTGTATAAAAGTATTGTAAAATATGTGCTCAAGAACAGTGTTAAAAACGGTTATCTTGTTATTACGGTTACAGTTATTCTTGCAAAATATCAACATTTTTGAATTGCAACGCCAACTTTTCTCATCAAAGTAAGAAGATCCTAGAAGATAAAGTTGGAAAGATATTTTAAGTATGAATACTGGCGACGCTCGACACATACAAATAGTTTATGAAGCAGCATACAAATCCTTGCGTTTTTTTCTTTCTCCCAATTGTCTTCAAAACTCGTCTGGAAGAGATGAAGCACTAACTCGTCTAGTATTTATAAAATATGCATTTTTCTTCCTTTTCAGCACGAATACTGGCGACGCCTTATTCCCTGCCAAAAATATCGTTGCAACTCCGTTTTAATTTCCCTATTATGCTGATAACATTTCGATGAAAAAGTTTAGTGTTCAAAACTTCTATTTGGAAATTTTGAAAGTTTATTCAAGTAACTACACAGACAATTGGATGCTGCTCGTGCTGAAACATAATGTTTAAAATAATATAACATGCATGTTTGACCCTACCAATCTTACTAAATGCAACGACTTGCAAGTCCGAAATTAACTTTTGTACTAATCCTTAAGGTTTCGACATAATTTTTTTTTAAATTAAGCTCAAATAAAATTTTAATTTTATGTTTGCTAAGCAGGGGTACTAAAATTATGAATTTAAAGTATATAAAAATTTAAGTTAAATTTAATTGAATTAAACTTATTTTTAAGAAAAATTAAAGTAGTTAATGTATTTTTGAAATATGAGTGATGGTCACTTAAAACTTTGAGCTTAAAAATTACACACCAACAGTTTTACAACAAATTGATCAAGAAACTTCAGAATATTGTTTTTTCTAGATCAATACTGTGATTACCTGTGTTTTCAAATAGGCTTTAAAAAATTTCATAAAGACAATGAATTAGAGCTAAATATATTTTTTATTATTGAATTTTTAAAAAATATTCTAAATGTTTTTACTTAAAACTTGATAAAAAAAAAAACAAATTCATACTTAGTCCTTAGATTTTTGTTCAAAACATTACAAAAATGATACAAAATCTACAGATAGAATTTCCAAGAATTTTATAATAATTTTTTTTCCATGTGTCTTAGCGTAAGGACATTTTTAAAAATCACCAATCTCCAGAAAACGCAAGAAAATTCTGACACGAAAAAAGAAATTTAAAGTTCGAAAATTAATTTCTGAAATTGAATTTTATTTGTCTTAAAAATATAATTAGTTCAAATGCAAAAAAGGTTAAAATACTCAAAACATAAAAAATTAACATAAATTTTGGTTTCTTTTTCGGAAATTTATTTTCAGTTCCATCTATCAGCATATGAAAAACAACAACTGCATTTAAAAATCTAGAGATAAAAAAGTTTAAAGGGTTTTTTTTTTGGTGAGCAAATGAAAAGTTCAAATATGCATTGTGAAAAAATCGATATTTTCGTCGAAATTGCTGATTTTCACCCTGTCGGATTCCTATCATAATTTACAATTCCGAAAAAGTAAAAATCTCTAACTCTACTTTTTAGCCTAAACCTGGATTTGAGTACGTAAATATTTTTATCGAAATTGCTGCTTTTCACCCAGTCGGATACCTTAAAAAGCATAATTTACAGTTCCAAAAAAATGTAAAAATCTCTAACTAGTTTTTTTTTTTAAAAAACCTAAACCTGGATTTAAGTAGGTAAATATTTCCGTCGAAATTGCTGATTTTCACCCAGTCGGATACCTTTCACAGTTCCAAAAAAATGTAAAAATCTCTAACTAGTTTTTTTTTGTTTTTTTAAACCTAAACCTGGATTTAAGTAGGTAAATATTTTCGTCGAAATTGCTGATTTTCACCCAGTCGGATACCTTAAAAGCATAATTCACAGTTCCAAAAAAATGCAAAAATCTCTAACTCGTCTTTTTTAAACCTAAACCTGGATTTAAGTAGGTAAATATTTTCATCGAAATGGCTGATTTTCACCCAGTCGTATACCTCAAAAAGCATAATTTACAATTCCAAAAAAATGTAAAAATTTCTAACTCGTTTTTTTTAAACCTAAACCTGGATTTAAGTAGGTAAATATTTTCATCGAAATGGCTGATTTTCACCCAATCGGATACCTCAAAAAGCATAATTTACAATTCCAAAAAAATGTAAAAATCTCTAACTCGTTTTTTTTAAACCTAAACCTGGATTTAAGTAGGTAAATATTTTCATCGAAATGGCTGATTTTCACCCAGTCGGATACCTCAAAAAGCATAATTTGCAATTCCAAAAAAATGTAAAAATCTCTAACTCGTTTTTTTAAAATCTAAACCTGGATTTAAGAAGGTAAATATTTTCATCGAAATCGCTGATTTTCACCCTGTCGGATACCTTAAAAAGCATAAATTAAAATTCCAAAATAATATAAAAATCACTAACTCATTTTTTTTACCTGGATTTAATTGGTTAAAATAAATATCTACCTTATTTAAATAAAGTAACCGAATCTTTTGCGCTTGATTAAAGTTGTAATATCTCTTATGATCCTAATTTGTAATCTATTTCAGACATAAGAAATGTCGAGTATGCTTCAACCACTTAATGTCTTTGAGATCTTTGGTACTTCAGAGGCAATCAACGGAGGGACCCATTGGAAAATTATTTACGGAACTATATGAGCTACTTAAAGTACTAGAACGATAAATTAATTAATTTTGAACAGAGAGGAACTAATTCAAGTGTAATTGTGAGATATATTTGTAATACAAGTTTTTAATGGTACTCTATTGAAAGTAAAATTATACTTGATATGTTGTTTTTATAATAAAACGAATGTCTAGCATGTTTTGTCTCTTCTTTATAGAAAAAAAAACATCAAGGATTATTTCTAATTGTATAATGTTCCGTAGACAAATAATTTTATGTTCTTTAAAAAAATGTAAATGTAATTCTTATTTTGTCTTTAAATATAAGCTATTTTGTACTGAAGGTTATTTTGAAGATTAAGTACCAACTTACTTTTAAGGGATTCAAAAAGTAGTATAATATTATAATTATAATATTATAATTGTAATATTATAATTGTAATATTATAATTATAATTATCACCGTCGTTGAACCCAATTTTTGGGGTTTACGACTACTAATGTTCAACTCCGTATCCTTGTAATTTGGAACCCAATCCAAAAGACAAGGGAACTCTTGAATCAAGTCTTGGGAGAAATTTGCCTTCTTGCAGGGCGTTTTGATGGAACTAACCAGCATTTGCGTCTCATGGTGGGGAAAACCTCGAAAAACCTCCATGGTTTTTGCCCGACAGCAGGGAGATTCTAGCCTACCACTGAGAATATTTTATTATGTAAGCACTGCGGTCAGTACAAGTCGGATGCGGAATTCGTAACGACCAGCCATCGCTGGGATTCGAAAACGGTTCACCTCAGTGGGAAAAAGTATAATTCATTTCATACTTTATTTAATAACCGTCGTTGAACACTCGACCTAATTTTTGGTTTACGACTAGTAATGTTCAACTCCGTAGCCTTGTAATTTTGAACCAATGCAGAAGACAAAGAAACTCCTGGATCAGCCTGCGCCAGAGGTATGATTTGTTATGGGAACATGGAGGACTTCGTGACTCGACAAATTTAACGTACATCAGTCACCATTTACTACACGGGGAGTCTTCGGCCGACAGGGGTGGAACCCACTCCCTCTGGAACATGGGACCAGTGCCCTACCAACCAGGCTATCCCGGCCCTTTATGGGGAAAAGTATAATAATTATTAATGAAAACAGTGGGGAACATGTTTCTTTTTGTCGCATGAGATTTTTTTCTAACAGATCTTCGAATCGCTGATTTCAAATCTGCAATCGGTTTCTTTCTCTAAACTGCAGTTATTTTTTATGAAATATTTAATCTATTTCTATCCAACATGTACAAGTTTCAAAACGTTACATGCAACAAGTGATCGTGTAAAAGTTACAAGACAAACTTCCAGGGGAGTTAGGGTACATCATTAAAATTAAAAGGAAATAATCATTAGAATGCTTAAGAAATGTCGCTCTGGGGATGCTTCCCTGCTATAAACTATTTGGAAGCATGGGAGGAAACAGTTGATAATAGAAGAAACGCCCTTAGCCGAGTACGACGACATTTCTGTTCTTGGATCCCTATGCAGTTTTAATCTAGATGATGTGCCATTAACTTCCCTAGAAGTTTGTTGCGACATTCACGCGACACTCTGTTATACATAACGTTATATTTCGACACAAAATAGACTGAAAATTCAATTTTAAAAACTCTTTCGCTTTAGGAGCAAAATTAATTTCAGATTTGAAATTCAGATTAGGCAAGATCACGTCTTTGTATAAACACAACAAAAAAATTTGTTTCCCTGTGTAATTCTTCAAACTTTTTAATTTGAATTAAAATAGATAATTTTGGTTTATTATTTAAGGAATTACCTGATTAAAAACTTCATTCACATCAGAAGTAAACAAATAAGAAATAACAGTCGACATGTTTCAAGAGTATCAAAAAATAGGTGTCCATCTTCACAACTTGCTTGTAAATGTAAAGAAAACAAATTGAAATAAAAACGTAAAGTTGCCAGCGAAAATTGGAAAAATAAAAAGGAGAAACAAAATACGAAAAATATGAATGGATTCTTTTTCCTCAATCGAGACTTTTTTTAAAATCATTTCAAAAATTTGTTCTCCCATCAAAGATAAATTTATACGAAAAATAATTTTTAAAAAATAATAGATCACCAACGGTGGGTCATGTTGCAAAATAATTCATGATTGAGTTATTTGTTGTTGCCATTATTATTTATGCTATAGCCTGCTTGAAATCAAACGAATTTTAAGGCAGAGGGTGCGTTTCTTATTTTCTTCAGGGGCGCCCTCTGTGGCCAAAAATACGACTTAATCACACTCACTTCACCACCCGTTTTACAGGGAGAACCCAATCATACTCCATTCATTCATCCGTGACCTGAACCAGAGAACGATCGATTTCAAATTCAGTACCTTCAGAGGCCTTGATTTGTTATGGGAACTTAGTGGACTCTGTGACCCCGATAGATTTGACATGCACCAGTCACTATTTAATACATGGTGATTCTTCATCCGGCGGGGAGTTATTAGAGTTTTAAATTAATTTTTCATGCTCTTCCTTGAATGGATGCCGTTTTATAATGTTAATTAAACCAACTCAGAAAACTAACAAACCTAAACTCTCACCTCCAAATTTGCCCCATGATTGTGTGTGTCGTAGATTAACGAAATACCATTATGATCAACTCTCTCATCAATTTTTTATTTGAATTATTACTTTTTCTCATTCATATTGCCAAAATTAACGTAAAATTCATACTCAACAAACAATAGACTTTTCGATTTTTTGGTTTGCTGTATTAAATTAGTGTTAGTATACACTCCCTGGCCAAACTGTAAGACGCATTTGAAGGTATTAAGTGAAATTTTAATTATCATGTGAAACTATACAGCTTTATTGTTTTTGCGCGGCTGAAACCGGTTTGCACTTGTTTACGTTCGTGCATCAATTGGTTAACATTGTAATGCAATACGTTATAAATAAATACAAATGGAAAGTGCATAGCAAATCTGAATAAAAATCGATTACATATATGTTTAAACATAAAAGTATTGCATAGAAACTCGTGCAAAACATATAATTATTAAAAAACTACAGTGCGTCTAATAACATGGTCTNTGAGATATATTTGTAATACAAGTTTTTAATGGTACTCTATTGAAAGTAAAATTATACTTGATATGTTGTTTTTATAATAAAACGAATGTCTAGCATGTTTTGTCTCTTCTTTATAGAAAAAAAAACATCAAGGATTATTTCTAATTGTATAATGTTCCGTAGACAAATAATTTTATGTTCTTTAAAAAAATGTAAATGTAATTCTTATTTTGTCTTTAAATATAAGCTATTTTGTACTGAAGGTTATTTTGAAGATTAAGTACAAACTTACTTTTGAGAGATTCAAAAAGTAGTATGATATTATAACTATAATATTATAATTATAATATTATTATTATAATTATAACCGTCGTTGAACAGCCGACCCAATTTTTGGGGTTTACGACTACTAATGTTCAACTCCGTATCCTTGTAATTTGGAACCCAATCAAAAAGACAAGGGAACTCTTGAATCAAGTATTGGGAGAAATTTGCCTTCTTGAAGAGCGTTTTCATGGAACTAACCCGCATTTGCGTTACATAGCTGGGAAAACCTCGAAAAACTTCCATGGTTTTTGCCCGGTGACAAGGAGATTCTAGCCCATGTTCTGCCGACCACTGAGAATACTTTTATGTAAGCACCGTGGTCGGTACAAGCCGGATGCGGAATTCGTATCGACCAGCCATCGCTGGGATTCGAACCTTGTTCACCTCAGTGGGAAAAAGTATAATTCATTTTATATTTTATTTAATAACCGTTGTTGAGCAGACGACCCAATTTTGTGTTTACGACTATTAATGTTCAACTCCGTAGCCTTGTAATTTTGAACCCAATACAGAAGACAAGGAAACTCCTGGATCAGTAGCCCCAGAGGTATGATTTATCATAGGAAGGAGGACTTAGTGACTCGACAGATTTAACATGCATCAGTCACCATTCACTACACGGGGAGTCTTCGACCGACAGGGATCGATCCCACGCTCTCTAGAACATGAGCCAAATGCCCTACAAACCAGCCTATCCCGGCCCTTTATGGGGAAAAGTATAATAATTATTAACGAAAACAGTGGGGAACATGTTTCTTTTTTGTTGCATGAGATTTTTTTTAAAGGATCTTAGATACTTTCGAATCGCTGTTTTCAAATCTGCAATCGGTTTCTTTCTCTAAACTACAGTTATTCTTTATGGCATATTTAATTTATTTCCATCCAACATGTACAAGTTTACATGTAACAAGTTGTAAAACGTTATATGTAACAAGTGGTCGCGTAAATGTTGCGAGACAAACTTCCAGGGGAGTTAGGGTACATCATTAGAATTAAAAGGAAATAATCATTAGAATGCTTAAGAAATGTCGCCACACGCCTCTGGTGATGCCTCCTTGCCATAAACTATTTGGAAGCACGGGACGAAACAGTTGATAATAGAAGAAACGCCCTTATCCGAGTACGACGACATTTCTGTTCTTGGATCCCTATACAGTTTTAATCTAGATGATATGCCATTAACTTCCCTAGAAGTTTGTTGCAACATTCACGCGACACTCTGTTATATATAACGTTTTTAAACTTGTATATTTCGACACTAAATGGACTAAAAATTTAATTTTAAAAACTCTTTCGCTTTAGGGGAAAAACTAATTTCAGATTTGAAATTCAGATTAGGCAAGATCACGTCTTTGTATAAACATAACAAAAAATTTGTTTCCCTGTGTAATTCTTCAAACTTTTTAATTTGAATTAAAATAGATAATTTTGGTTTATTATTTAATGAATTACCTGATTAAAAACTTCATTCACATCAGAAATAAACAAATAAGAAATAACAATCGACATGTTTCAAGAGTATCAAAAAATAGGTGTCCATTTTCAAGACTTGCCTGACGTAAATGTAAAGAAAACAAAAATGATTTGAAATAAAGCTTTAAAGTTGCCAACGAAAATTGGAAAAATAAAAAGGGGAAACAAAATATGAAAAATATGAATGGATTCTTTTTCCTCAATCGAGACTTTTTTTGCAATCATTTAAAAAATTTGTTCTCCCAAAGATAAATTTATATGAAAAATAATTTTTAAAAAATAATAGACACTCAATTATGATGCACGGTGGGTCATGATGCAAAATTGT